TTCAATTTATTCATCTTTCAAATCGAACACGGTTAAACAGCTTCATACGAGGGTGGTCCGATAAGTACTTAGCCAACAAAAGAAAAACGAAAATTTTGGAAAAGTGGCGTTTTATTTTTCAATATAGTCTCCTTTTAGTTCGATACACTTGGCCCAGCGATGCTCCAACTTCTTTAACCCGTCTGAAATACGTTTCCTCGAGGTCTGAAAAGTAGGCTTCCGTAGCAGCGATTACCTCCTCAATTCGACTCAAATTTCTGCCCGGCGAGTGACTTTTTCAAGTTTTGAAACAAAAAGAAGTCACACGGGGCTAAATCTGGAGAATACGGTGGACGGGGTTGGGCAGCAGTTCGCAGCCTAATTCGACCAATTTGGCCATGGCGACGGCAGAGGTGTGAGCCGGTGCGTTGTCATGGTGGAAGAACACTTTTTTCTTCGCCAAATGGGACCGTCTTTTCTGCAATTCAACGTCGAATCGGCCCAATAATTCGGCATAGTACAGCTCTGTGACCGTTTTGCCCCTCTCCTGGTAGTCGATGTAGATCACACCTTGTGAATCCCAGAAAACGGTGGCCATCACCTTTCCGGCCGATGGGGCAGTCTTCGCCTTCTTCGGAGCACTTTGCCGGGTAAAGTCCACTGTTTCGACTGTTCCTTGGTCTCTGGTGTACACCAGTGGATCCATGTTTCGTCGACTGTCGACGAAACGACGCAGAAACTCCTTCGGATTGCGCTTAAACAGCGTCAGACATTGCTCTGAAGTTGTCTCACGGTTGCGCTTGTTGTCCGGAGTGAGCAAACGCGGCACCATCGCGCCGACAGCTTTCTCATGCCCAAAATTTCATGCAGGACATGACCCACGCGGTCTTTTGAGATGCCTACGATCTTAGCTATCTCGCGCACCTTCAATCGTCGATCTGCCAATACGAGATCGTGAATTTTTGTCACGTTATCCTCCGTGGTAGCCGTTTTCGGAGCACCTGGACGTGGCTCTTCAAAAATCGACGTGCGACCACGTTGAAACTCGTGAAACCAATTTTCGACGGTCGCCATCGAAGGAAAAGAGTCACCGTACACAGCATCCAAGCGCTTTTTGATTTCGCTGCGCTATTTCCCTTCCAAAAACAAGAAACGAATCACCGACCGATACTGTTCTTTTTCCATTTTTCAAAAATCAACGGACACACTTGCTTTCACACGCTCTCAAAAATAAACTACAACTCCGATCCAGCTGAAATCTTGACAGTAACCATCGAGAAGGTTGTACTACGTGATAGAATATTTCTTTTGCGAGAGTGGCGCCATCGGGCGGTAAGGCTATGTACTTATCGGATCACCCTCGTATGACTAATCACATAAAGTAAGAGTGAGGAGGAAAGAGGAACGAGATAATACGAGGTAGGGTAGGGAGAGTGAGGGAGGGAGTGAAAAGAAGAGAATAGAAAAAGGAAAAGGGGAATGGACAGGTCGATATTTTCTTACTTGAGTTACTTTCGAGGTCAGCAGTGTTCATTTAATTAACATGTTTCAAATACTTTCACAGCGATTGCTTCGTTAGGAACTTAAAAAAATTACTATTCAACTATTAAAAATTTTGCTTTTGAATTAACCCTTTGAAGGTCACGAAAATAAACCTTTGAATATTATTCCGGATGAATAATTTCCCGCTTTTTTCAAGTCTGGTGTGAGAATTAGAGGTTTCCATTAAAAAAAATAAGGTTAACCTTGAAATGACTAGGGGTGGAGTGGGGGTCATTCGGACCCTATAAATATCCCATCATCTGAACGTACAATTTCACATACAGTTCAAACCTGTAACGAAAAATGAAGGGTTCCATTCAAAAAGTAAGGTTGACCTTGAAAGGACTTTGGGGCTGGGATGTGGGGCATTTGGACCCCACACATATTACATGATTTGAACGTAGAATTTAAGGTAGAATCCGAATCTGAGATAAATAGTAAGGGTTGTTATAAAAAAAAAAAACGTTAACTTTGGAATGACCTTGACCTATCATGTTCAAGGTTAAATTTAAAGTCACCAAAATATGGCCCTTTTGGTATTGAGCAGCTTTTGTCTGAACAATTTTCCTGAACGCAGATGATCATTGTTTAAATATATATATATATATAGAAGTTTCAGAGACTGTTATAAGAAAAATTGACACATAACTTTCATTTATAACTGTGCTAAAATTGTTTAATAGTTTATGATATTAATCAGGGTTATAAAAAGAAATGATAAATTTTGTAATAATGGAAAGAAGCGAAATAGTGAGAGATGGAAATTCACTTAATTTTAATTATATTCAGCAACGTTTCGTCAGCACATTACTGACCTCTTGCGTCTTTATTAACAGAAAAACAACAAATTATTAACAATAAAGTTGCAAATGTAATTTTAACGGCATATAATTATATGTATATGTGCGTACCTGTTTTCTCTCGCAGTCAAATTATTATAGGCTAAAACGAATAGCTCGTAGCCAGTCACGTTACAATACAGTAAGAATTCAAGTATTTATATACATATATATATATATATAAAACATCTATCATCCCTTCCTCATCGATCTTAATGAAGGCTTATAAATATGACTAAGATATTGTATATCCTCTTTTCTATTTAAAGTGTTTTTATGTAAGCCGATGTGCAAAATTGCGGATGTTCTGCGTTTCTTATAATGCTTTTCATAATCCAATATCTTAGCTTTGTCTCAGTTAAATTCGTGTGAGAGTTCTTCTATGTGTAGCTACTACTGTATCTGAGTCAATGTATTTTTTTGTGTTCATTTAATGTAATTTTAAAGGATCGCTTACTTTTACCTATGTAGACAGCTGAACATTGTTTGAAGTTAAAACTGTAGACAATACCAGTGTTGTCTAATATATCAGATTTGTCTTTTTCTAAACGTATGAACTCTTGTAATGGTTTTCGTAATAAAGAGATATGAGTAATGTCATGTTTTTTAACACAGAAGAACATTTTTTAAAGATATTACAATTATTTGGAATAGCGACTGTAGGTAGTTTTTGATTTATTAATTTTTTAGAATTATTCTTCCCTTTTTTATATTTGTTAAACCGTTTATGTATGTGTTTTTTTTTTTAAATTCAGATGGATAATTATTCTTTTTCAGGATATTAGTAGCTATTTTTAAATTGCTAAAACGAAATTTTTTATTAGCAAGTAAAAACACCCGGTCAACTAAATTTGAAACTATATTAACTTTTTGATGAATTGTATGTTGTGAGTTCAAATTTAAAATACTGTCAGTTTGTGTTGTTTTTCTAAACTTGTCAAATTCTAATTTATTATTATTTTTGATCAATTTTAAGTCGAGAAATGGAATAAAATTAATCATTTCAATTTCAAACGTAAATTGTAGTCTATTATGATAAGAATTGAACGTCTCGACAACTAAATCAATTTTATCTTTCGGAATGCAATTATCAAGTATCATCAACATATTTATAAATATAAATCTATAAATTAAATTTTAACTCGGAACATACAATTCATCAAAAAGTTAATATAGTTTCAAATTTAATTGACCGGGTGCTTTTACTTGCTGACAAAATGTTTCGTTCACGCAATTTAAAAATAGTTACTAATATCCTGAAAAAGTATAATTATCCCTCCGAACTTATCAAAAAACACATACACAAACGGATTAATGAATATAAAAAAGGAAAGATTAATTCTAAAAAATTAATAAATCAAAAACTACCTACAATCGCTATTCCAAATAATTATAACATCTTTAAAAAATGTTCTTCTGTGTTAAAAAACATGACATTACTCATATGTCTTTATTACCAAAACCATTACAAGAGTTCATACGTTTAGGAAAAAACAAATCTGATTTATTAGACAACACTGGTATTGTCTACAGTTTTAACTGTAAACAATGTTCAGCTGTCTATATAGGTGAAAGTAAGCAATCCTTAAAAATTAGATTAAATGAACACAAAAAAAAACATCGACTCATATACAGTAGTAGCTACACATAGAAGAACTCTCTCACACGAATTTGACTGAGACAAAGCTAAGATATTGGATTATGAAAAGAATTATAAGAAACGCTGAATATCCGAAATCTTGCACATCGGCTTACATAAAAACACTTTAAATAGAATATACAATATCTTAGTCATATTTATAAGCCTTCATTAAGATCGATGAGGAAGGGGTGATAGATGAAGTGTGCGCGCGCGCGCGTGTGTGTGTGTGTGTGTGTGTGTGTGTGTGTGTGTGTGTGTGTGTGTGTGTGTGTGTGTGTGTGTGTGTGTGTGTGTGTGTGTGTGTGTGTGTGTTGAAATACTTGATTTCTTACTGTATTGTAACGTGACTGGTTACGAGCTATTCGTTTTAGCCTATAATAATTTGACTGCGAGAGAAAACAGGTACACACATACATATAATTATATGCCGTTAAAATTACATTTGCAACTTTATTGTTAATAATTTGTTGTTTTTCTGTTAATAAAGCCTGAAGAGGTCAGCAAATGTCCTAACGAAACGTTGCTAAATATAATTAAAATTAAGTGAATTTCCATCTCTCACTATTTCCCTTCTTTCCATTATTACAAAATTTATGATTTAAGAAAATTATAAGGGAATCAAGGCAGTATGTTACGTATTATAAAAAGAAAGTTATAATGAGCAGAACAGAAAAATAATTAGTAAATTGCAGGGCATTGTTTGTTTATCGTAGGTCCAGCGGGCCATGTCCACTGAGCTTTTCGCACTTCCAGCTATGATTTTTTTCTATCCAAGTACAGCTGTTGGCTTATATTCGATTTATCAGAACTAATTAATTATTCTATTATCATTCTTTATCGAGCTATGTGTGCCATATGCAATATTTAAAATATACCGTATATAACCTATTCTTATGAAAAAGATACTATTTTATTCATGTAATAACTGAAATTAATTATTTAAAGCACCGTTTTTAAATAAAATGTGTATTTTTATTCAATATTTTTTCACGTTTCAGGTGGTGGAGCTATAGAAATGTCCATTTCACGTTTCCTTAATGAGAAAGCAGCTGTCCTTGCTGGAATTGAACAATGGCCTTACAAATCTGTTGCTCGAGCACTAGAAATTATTCCAAGAACCTTAGCACAAAATTGTGGATCTAATACTGTTCGTGTGTTAACTGAATTAAGAGCAGTACATGCAGCCGGTAACACTACTTGGGGTATAAATGGAGAATTTGGAGATATAGTTGATATGAAAAAATATGGAATATGGGAACCATTGACCGTAAAACTTCAAACTTATAAAACTGCAATTGAAACTGCTATACTCTTATTAAGAATTGATGATATCGTGGCAGGAAGTAAAAAAATATCACCAGAAAGAGAGAACTCGACTCTGAAGCACAATCTTACTGAAGAATCTATCAAGGAATAAATATATAATATTTTTCCAAATATTGTATCTCTGAGGAAGATTGTGTAATAACGCATTTTATGCAATAAAATTAACTCTTTTTTTTGTAAACAATTAACTCTATCTTCAAGATTTGATTTAATAAGAGGACTTTCTAAACGTTTCAATTTTATATGAATTTCGACAAACATTACAAAAATTAGTTGCTTCTCGATAAAAATCGAAGTGCTCCGTTTTTTAATTCAATAATTTTTTTGTTATAGGATAATGATTTTTAATTTTTACATTAATAAAGAGTGATTCAGTAAATTTTTTAAAAATTTATTTATTCTTATTAATAACTAAAATTATATTTTGCTTTTGAATTTTCATAGAACTGTATTTCAACCTCCATTCAATTAGTTGTTTACAAGTTTTGTACATTGTTTCCCAAATTTGTGGACCATCTTACGTATTTGTTAGTTGTTCAAGTTGATAAATCATTAAGCCTGAAAATTATATATCCATATATTGTCAGTGAGCTCTTACGAATTAACAAACTCATATACGACGGTCGTTTGAAAAGTGCGTGCAAAGTCAGAGAGATGGCGCTACTAGTGCGTATCAAGGTTATTTTCAGTTAGTAGCATATCTTGTAAGAGCACACACCAAGTTTCAGCCAGATCAGCCAATTACTTTGCGTTTTATATTCGTTTCAATCAAAGAAATCGAATGGTTGTAAAAAAATGAACGAAAAAGAATTTCGTGTATTGATTAAACATTACTTTTTCAAAGGCAAAACACCTCAGGAGATTAAACAGAAGCTTGATAAACATTATGGTGGTTGTGCACCTTCGATTAGAATGGTTTATAAGTGATTTCAAAATTTTCGGAGTGGCCATATGAGCACAAAAGACGCTGAATGTTCTGGATGCCCTGTTGAGATTACCACTTCAGAAATCAGTGATAAAATCCATGATATGGTGATGGCTGACAGAAGAGTGAAGGTGCGTGAGATTGCTAGTACTGTACGCATCTCGAGCGAACGGGTAAATAATATTTTGCACCAACATTTGGACATGAAAAAGCTATCCGCTAGATGGGTGCCGCGATTGCTCACGATTGACTAAAACCGAGATCGTGTGAAGTGTTGCAAGAATGGTTTGCAGCTGTTCCAGCAAAATCCGCAAGACTTTAAGCGTCGTTTTATCACTGTAGATGAAAACAGGGTACATCACTACACTCCTGAGACCAAAGAACAGTATAAACAATGGGTTACCTGTTACGTCTCGTGCATCAACTACGAATAGCTAATGAATGAGACGTTCCAATATGTTGACTAGTGGTCGGATATGTCTCACTTATAAATATATGTGGAAATGTATGTCTGATGATTGTACTACCTTTAATTGTTGATAAAATGTAGCAGGCTCTAACTGCTTGTTGGATTGTATGAGTGTAGCAGGCTCTAACTGCTTGTTGAATTGAATAAATATAGCAGGCTCTAACTGCTTGTTGAATTGAATAAATATAGCAGGCTTTAACTGCTTGTTGAATTGAATAGGATAGGTTTGAATAATACTTGCACGATATTACTTGTAACAGTCGCGAGTTTATTAATTAAAATGATCATCAATTGTCGGACCGGTGTGTACGGAGTTGAGTCTTACAGGTACTTATTGACAGACTGACGGACTACTGATCAACTCCGCTCGTAATGATGTTCATTGCTTTTTATATGTTAATTTTCAGGTCAGTATCGAATTGTGACATTTTGTTTTTTGCTGAATATACATTCTTGTGCTCGGTGGCTTTATTTCGGAGTGCTATTTGTTTCGCGTTTTGTCAGCTTTCTGCTGACGTGTGAATATTTTAGCAGTTTTGAATTTCCTGAATATGCATTTGTTACAAAAGAGGATGTGTCGTAAGGTGTAACAACTTTATTTCGGAGTATCATTTACCTCGCGTTTCGTCAGCTTTCTGCTGACGTGCGAATAGTTTTAGAAGCTTTGAATTTCACGAGTGTGCAGTTGTTACAAAAAGGATGCGTCGTAAGACGTAACATACCAAGGGGGAATCTGCTCCGAAAAAGGCGAAGACAATTCCTTCGACCGGGAAGGTTATGGTGATTGTCTTTTGGGATTCGCAAGGAATAATCTTCATCGACTATCTGGAAAAGGGTAAAACCATTACAGGCGAATATTATTCATCATTATTCGATCATTTGAAAACCGAGTTGATAGAGAAACGTCCACGATTGGCCCACAAAAAAGTCCTCTTCCACCACGACAATGCGCCAGCTCACGCCTCAGCAGTTGTGGCCGCAAAACTGATGGAGATCGGGTTTCAACTCGTTTCACATCCCCCCTATTCTCTAGACTTAGCTCCGTCGGACTACTATTTATTCCCTAATATGAAAAAATGGCTGACGGGGAAAAGATTTTATTCAAACGAGGAGGTAATTGCAGAAACGAATGCCTATTTTACAGACTTGGACAAATCCTATTATTTGGAAGGGATTAATAAACTAGAGCAGCATTGGAAATGAAGTGTATAAGCCTAAAAGGAGACTATGTTGAAAAATAAAAAAGATTTATTAAAAAAAATCAATCAGTTTTTATTTTTGCACGGACTTTTCAAACGACCCTCGTATAAGCCTATAAATTTTTATCCAGTCCTATATATACAAATCTTAATTCGCTATTCAAATAATTAACTATTTTTATTATTTTAGCATATATACTTTTTTCAGTTTTCGACAATGTAATTCAATTCAATCCAATTCAAAACGATATCTGTATAAAAAATATCCGGCAGGCTAGCATTATTTAAATACATTTTTCATACAGTAAATTGTCTTTACCGCAGTATATATAAATTTTAAGTGCTTTCTGTATTCAGATGATAAAAAATAATGTAACAAAAATTAATTGTTAAAAACATTTATTATTATTATTATTATTGGTAGTAGTAGTATTTTCTTTAATCCAAAAATACAAAGTTTATGGATTGCTCCATATACATAAAGAGATAAGTAAGTAATTAAGTAAATAAAGTAATAAGTAAGTACATAAAGAGATAAGCAATTTACCTGTACAGAGGCTGGATACATAAAAGAAACTTGCATACTACAACTTATATATTAAATATATTCAGATTTATTTTATTATACATAAATTAGTTAGTTTATTTATTTACAACTTATATGTTACATTTGGTTTTCATTTCTTATATTACAATAGTGCCTCGTGTCCAGTTTGTGTAATTGATAATGTATGTGTTTTGTGTGTGTGTGCGCGTGTGTGTGTGTGTGTTTTGTGTATATGTACGTATGTAGGTATGTCTGCAACTCTTGCGTCCCTGTCTTCTGCTTCTGTCTGTTCAGCTTTTCTTCCCATTTTTCCGTTGATTAATCTTCTCTTCCTCTCTCTCTCTCTCTCTCCGAGATCTGCCTTTTCCGCTCTTGTTTTTCTCTTTCTTGCTTATTTTCTTTTCGACTTCTTGCTTTGTTACTTTCTTTTCCCCTTTCACCTTAGGCTTTACTTTGCTTTTGCTCTCTTTCTTGCTAATCATTTCATCAATCTTTCTCCTTATTAGGGCTTTGATACCTTTTTCTCATTTTCTATTGCTCCCCCTGCCTTTCCTTTCCTCAACCTCACTTATTTTCTTTAGTATCTTATTATTTGTATTCTTGTTTTCCTTTTTTTTTCTCTTCTTCGATTCTTCTTCTTTTACATTTTTGCTCCTGCATCCAATACCTGATTCCTCTCGCTTGTGTAGTTGCTAGTACTTGTGTTTTGTGGGTGTGTGTGTGTATGTATGTGTATGTGTATGTTTGCATGTGTGTGTGTTTTGTGTGTATGTTTGCGTGTGTAGATGTGTCTGCGAGTCTTGCGTCTCTGTCTTCTGTTTCCTTCTGTCCTTAGGGTCTTGAAATTTCGTCTTCTTGATTTTCTTTTTCTTTCTCTTTATTTCTTCTTCTTTTCCATTTTATCTCCATCATCCACGCTATCTTTTCTTTGCTTCCTATTATTATTTTTTCCCATTCTTCCCCTTCCTTTCTGCTTTTTCACATTTTTCTACTCTATGTGCTTCCAATTTTCTTCCTCTTTCATACACATTCTGCATCCCTTATTTTCTTCTTTTTCCCAATACCTGCTTCCTCTCGTTTCATTACCTAACCTAAACCTTTCCCTTATTTATAAGGCCTTTTATTCTTCCCTCTCCTTGAATTTTCTTTAATCTGTACTTTTTCATTTCTTCTTTCAGTTCTTTTCACTCGTTTATGTATCTTGACTTTTCTAACTCTTCTTCTAGTTCTTTTTCTTCTTTTTTCTTTAGCTCTTCTCTTGTTTCTTCCCAAAACTCTTCTCTCATTTCGTCTCCCTCCTTCCTCTCTCTGTATATTTTACTTTTTTCTGGCCTTTCCTCTCTCTCTCCTCCTTACCCATTTTATCTGTTTCATTTCTTTCCCTTTTCCTTAATTCTCTCCATGCTTCTTTTTTTATTGAGCCATCTCTTTCTTCTCTTATTTTGTTTTCATACCTCATTGCTTTTTCTAAAGCTGTTTCTTTCATTTTTTGTCTTCCTGTTTCCCATCGTATTAAGTAACTTGACGTGTTTCTATCTAATCCCAATAACTACTTTATGTATTTTAGTTCTAATCTATCTATTTCTTCATATCTCTTCCATCCCTAGATTTCTGCTCCATCCATAATCACGCTTTTCGTCAGTGCGTCGAACAGGTTCATCCTTAGCTCCCAATTTTCTCTAAATAGTTTTTCTCCTAGCCCCCATAGTCTTCCGAGTCCCATATTTATTTTCCCTTCTACCTTCTTTCTCTGCCTTTTATTTACGTTATTTCTGCTTATCACATATCCCAAGTAATTGTACTCTTTAATCATCTCTATCTTCTCACCTTCCCATTCGAATTCTTCTTCCTTTCCCCTTCCTCCTCCTCTCCTGCATTTCATCATCTTTGATTTTCCTACATTTAGCTCTAATCCCCTTTCTTCCAGGTACCTTTTTAATTTTTTCAGCATTGCTTTCATTCCACTTTCACTCTTTGCCATCATCACTATATCATCTGCATATCCTAATGTCCATATTTTCTTCCTTCCTATCACTACCCCTTCTTCTTGCACCTGTTTGATCTTGACTTCAGGTCGGCGAAGGCAAGATTAAATAACTTAGTATTCAAAGGGCACCCTTGCCTTACGCCTTTGTAAGTCTCGAACTCCCCAATTATTTCTCCTCCAACTTTTACATTACTCCCTGTTTTCTTATATATTTCTTCTATTCTTTTCTTAA